AAGGAGAAATCGATGGAGTAAGATAAAGCCACGCGGAGAATCCAGACGAACACACGCTGTGCTTTTCTCCCCATTTGTCGGTATACTGCAGTTTCCTTTCTCTCGACTCCAGATGTATGGGTCGTCCCCTGGATTGTTTCAAGGTTGTTCATCGAGCAGTCTTAAGAAATACGAGGTGTCAGAAAACAGGTTTAGTTGCATCTTTCCGTCACCAGAGGTGGACACATTTTACTTGTGTCTCTGTAGACTGTACTTTTTAAAATAATTCCCTTTTTTTGTTCCGGATAATGATACCTTAAATCAATGTACTGCCACCATGTCCTTGGATAATTGCCAGATATTTAAATGTTCTATTTAACTGGTCAACGAAACCATTCTCTCAACCTGACTCCCGGCCGCCCGACCTATTTTCTCCTGGAAAGAGAAAACGTTTACAGGTTTCAAATCAGACTTATCGGGGCACACATTGAATGCCAAATTATAATGTCTTGCTTTCGTCTTGCTTTCGTCTTGCTTTCCTTAGCGTTTTCATCTGTAAGTAAACTCCGATCACCGAACGCATGTGAACCTCATGAGGTAGACAATACTGTTGATGTTACCCGTGATGTGACATTGCATCGGCGCCTCATTCCATGTTACGAACCATTCAAAATCGATTTGGCGCCAAGCTCCAATATCACATATGTCAGCACTGGCACTACTCAAGAATCGTCAACGTATATTTTTTACAGAACTTTTCTTAGTCGTTAAACATTTCAATAACATTGAATGACGTCATTGGAAGTTGAAGAGTCGTTTTCTCGAAACCACGTAGGAACGCGCGGGAAATTAAAGTGCCATGGTCGCATGGTTCGTACAGTGTCCTGCTCGTGTGATCTAACCTTGCATACCCTTGCATATGACCTGTGAATAAAAGCGGTCCACAGAGTGCAGAAAGTGTGAACGTTTTTGTTGACTTGCCAACGTCCACACAAGGTTTCCCCCTCTCTGAAAATCAGGTTAAGAGACAGGGATGTGCGCTAGCTTTGTTCTTGGGCATGACACTTTACGGCAATTCATTGGAGTATAACCATGAAACGCTGGGGGTATTGTGCCGATCTCAAACTGGGGCTTAAACTGCACCCTTGGCCTGGTAAAAGTGCTTGAGAAGATCATAATACATCGCTCCATTAGCTTAACCCTAACGATCCCTATCCAGCTAAACTCCACCACAAGGTTTGCTGGCAAATTTACAAATTAATTTAATGACAGAACTTTTGGAGACTAACATGCCTGTTTGTGACATTGACGATCATGTCATGTCACAGTGGGGTTCCTGGAAAGGTCTTAATGAAGTGTTTGTTCATTCGGAGAAGTATTATTTGCTTTATAAAAAAGGAAGCCATCTCGAACAATGGAGACAAGTCGATACCGCCGTGTAACCAGGGAGCTTACAGGAGGTTGCAGAAGGGCAAACACAGACGGGGGAGTTTGTTCAAGAGAGGGTGGCAAACACCCCTGGGGAAGGTCATTCCCCTTTGAGTCGGGCCCATTTTATCAGACTTTGTGTCAAATAGGGCTTTGTTCCTTTGGAGTGGATGACATGTAGGGGTGACATCTTCTATTGTAGTGGTCGGTAGACCCTCACGGATTGCTGACGCGCGCGTGGAGACAGTGTACCACGATTTCCAGTCAATCACACTTTCGAATCTTTGAAAACAAGCAATTCCAATTCCATTTGCCTTGTTTTGTTTCGGTATATTGCCTCCGATTGTGCTGGTCCCAGAAGGGCCAGCCTAGTTGAACCGATTCTACTTTACCGATCGTCTGCGAGATACTTCGCGTCTGTCTTAGTTGTCGGTGACATTTGCGGATGACATACATGTCTGCGTTGCAGTTTGGGTCTTGTTTGTGTTGCTCTCTTCGTTTTGCTCAACTCGATATGGAAACTGGGCTGAACTATGGAGTCCAGTGATTGCACAGTATCTTTCTGTACCGTTCAATAGTGCGTTCTCCTTTCTGATATTGATGACTTATCTGACAGTATCTCTCAATTAAATTCGTTTCTTGACAAACGTCCTATCCAGGAATTAGGGACAATTCACATTTGCCGAATAGAGTGACCGCCATATCCTCAAACCCATCAATTTAACTCCTTTCTCTTTGTGTATGAAAGTCTTCCTCTTCATCAGAATGAATGATTGCTATACGGAATTGCCCTCCCGCGAAGCGTCCTTAATGAAATTGCCACACAGGGGAAAAAAGCAATCATTTTATCTAATTACAACTCGGTTAAAAAAAAGCATTGCTCAAAAAAAGGAATCAATTGAACGAATTTATAAAGTGAGGCCAATACACTTTATGTTATTGAATGGTAATGAAATGCAATTAAAAGATAGCTTGGTATTTTTCTGCGGCTTGTGTATTTGTTAAAGCTCGGTTACATATTGTTCGTATTATTTTATGTTATTAATATTATTTATGTTTTATTTATTCATTACTATTTATTTTGGAGGGGGCTAGCCCCAGAGTACCAGGCCAGTGCCTCTTTTAATAATATATTACATTTTATATCGCACTTTCTTCGGGCGTTTCAAAGCGCTCTCTATATTTTTAGAGACAGGTAAATGAAGTTGATGGAAATATGAGACGCATTATGTAGCACCTTTATAAGGGTTTACAAGGTGCTGCGGCGCACTTTGCAGCCACTGCCAGAAACACAGGGGCAAACCCCTTCTCTTTGAGAGGTGTTACTGGGTTCTTTAACGGGACCTACGGCTTAACGTCCCATCTTTACGTCTGATTAAAATGGTAGCGTGTGAGATGACTGTCATTAGTGCGCGAAAGAGTGAATAATTCATGAGGGAAACTGTGAAAATGATAACAGAAAAAAAAGAGAAACAGCGAGGGAAAAAAACAAATGCGGACCTGCCTGAGACCACAGTCCTGCAAACAAGTGCCACAGCTGGGGAAATGTCAAGTGGGTTGCAAGTGGTTTAATTGTTGTTGCAGCCACACGCATGTGTGCTCGGTCGAAATGCAGGGAAAAAATTACATATGTCGCAAAAGTGGTGTACAAGATCAATGTCACTGACCATTGCATTATATCTGAGTTTGCAGTGAATTGAAGGGCAAACGTTTTGTAGAATGAGGTTTAGCTTTGCAAATTGGACAACAATTTCAGAATTTTCGACATCCAAAATCTAAAGACTGAAGTAAAAACAAAAATCTAACTAGAAACTATAGCCAAACTTACAAATAGCTTACTGCTTTAGTCAGTTGATAAAACGTTAAATTGTGATAGGTCTCAGTGAAATACACACTGAATGCATTATTAGCGCGTGTAATAGACCTGACCGTCAGCCTTTTCGATGTCTCTACATTTGGGGTCCTCAAAACTTCATGAATACAATTGTTTATGGCAATACATTTTTTTTGGGGGGGGGGGGGCACCGAATCAAAGTCGTTTCATGCATCTGGACTATGAATGGGCTAGATTTAGCCCGTTCGTTGGCGTTACGGGGTAACCCTATTCGAGAGCACTGCCCGGCTCTCTTCATCAGCCGACTGTCACAAATGTCAGTCAGTCAGTCAGTCAGTCGGATAGGAACAGATAGGATACCAGACCGGCCCTCTGCGACCAGCAAAACGTCAAATCTGTCTCCATTCAAATCTGTCTGCAAATGAAACACAGTACACTTTGGTATGTAGTATTTACAAACAGCCGTCGGGTAGTATATAGCATTTTACAAACAGCCGTCGGGTCAGGTTGTTAAAGTAGCAAGTCTTTGCGTTGGGGTACATTTACAACAATAGATGAACTCCCGATGAGGAACCTACATCCACACTTATGCACTCCGCTTATGAGGTTTGCTGAGATGGATATTCCATTCGGCCTCTCTTGAATATACAACAAACCAAATATTACAACGAAAAAATAATTATATAGCTCAATCATACTACGTCCCTGGGGGCCTTTAAACTTTACAACACCGGGTGGGCAAAAATCTACTAATTGAGTCTAGACAACTTGGTTCCCTGGGTTTTATAGCTGTTAATAGCTTGTCATAAAAATTGGGTTGATCGATGATGCTATACAATGAGTTGTTGAGAATCGTGCTACACAAGTCATGGGTTCTATATTTTCATCACGACCCAGCGCTTATTGTAACGCATAATTACAAAGACCATAAAGAGAGCAAAATTATCCAGACCTCAGATATCTTGGGTGTCCCGTATCATATTTTATTAAATTTTGGTTTGTATAAAAAAATAAAATTCCATAAATGCATTCCGTAACACATCAAAGATTCAGCAATATTAAACAAAACTCTGTGTGAATTGTAATTAATATTTACTTAAACAGATTGAGTCGTATAAAAGGGGCCTACGATCTAGGAGAGCTTTTCTCCGTGCAAGATAAGTCGAACAGATTGATATGCCACTATCCAACAACGGTACATCTGATTTTTTACAGAAAAAAACAGGAGTACAATCTTGCACAAGGCAAACCCGAAAAATTCCTGAAATCCTAGTTCTTGTAGGATTTCCGTGAAGTAGAAAAAAACACCGATTGTATCGCCTATATGCACTCTAAAGAGTCCCTGGTCAGGTTGACCCGGGATTCGGGTTCTATTTGGCCTTTTCCGGGTAAATGTGAAATTTTTTGCCAAGGTTTCCGGGTCAATAGGAGCAGAACTAATGTCATTTTCGATCCGGAAAAGTGTCCCTTTTGACACGGTAAAGTGTCATTTTGGACCCGGAAAAGTGTCCTATTTATCACGGAAAACTGTCATTTTTGACCCGGAAAAGAGTCATTTTTGACAATGAAAAGTGTCATTTTTGGACACGACAAAGTGCCGTTTTTAACCCGGAAAAGTTTCATTTTTGACCCGAAAAAGTGTCCGGCCAGCTAGAACCATTCTAGGTCAATCTAACGGGCCTTTTTTTTTTAGAGTGTATCAACTGAAGGCCTCGATTGAACTAACTTTTCTCTTCTTTGATTAATTAATTTTTACGATTAGGTGGAATTTTCGACCAAAGTGCCGAGATGAGCAACGCAGAGAGAGCTTTCCGCTTCGCCATAGAGCGGCTGAACGCCCAGAACTACTTCAACGGCACAACCTTAGTGCCAGACGCCCGCCACGTGGCCAACAACGACATTTTTAATGCCACCAAAACAGGTGAGGTTACTTTATCACACAAAGGTATCAAGATACCCCGTGACGTCATGACTGACAGGTCGGCTCATTAAGCCGAGAGAATATTCAGTTTTCAGCGCGGTCGGGTGGCTTTGATTTGTGGCGCGATTAATTAAGACGAGAATGTTTGCGATAGTTCGAGGAACTGTTAAATATTTCCGTATATGCACCGGGTATTTCAACTATGAGTTGCGAGAACAGATCTTTGCGCTACTGTTCTGTCGTCGTGCGCGATTTGCGAGGGTTTGTTCGCAGGCGTTAGCTGTGCAAATACCCTATTCGCTCTTTGCACATTATCGCCATATTCGAAACGAGAGTGAGACTCGTATCGTATGTTGGTTACCACCTCAATAAAGGCATTCGTGTGAGTCCATTTAAAAAGCTAAGGTATGCCAACACAGCCTCGTTTTATCTCAATCGTGCAAGATGTACATCAGCACCGTTTTGAAACGAGTGCCTTGGATTGATGCCCAACGCAAGCAAATGGCACAAATAAAGCGAATGCCTAATTAAGCCACAATGAAAAAAAGAGTAGCTATATTATATGTCAGTGTTTCTCAAATACAAAAATATAAGAGTATAAACGTTATAAACCCGTTGCGTTATTCACATCATTAGAATACGCTAATTATCCAAAATAACCATATTAAAATTATTATCAATATATTTAGATAGTTTAACTGCATTTATGATTGCTTTTTTGTATATTAGGAACAATTGGCTCAGAGCCATGTAGTTATTAATACGTCAATTTCAGTGGAAACAATATGTCTAGCTTTGCCATTTGGCCCATTAGATGGAAATGGATTCCACCGCAGTGATCCGTCACTGCAAATCGTAGAATAAAAAATGGCACAGCATAATTATGTTGACAATATGGATCAGTTACCATTTTTTTCATTTAGATTACCACAAGCTAGATGGGTATTGCCCTACGTCATTTATTAATTTTCAAGTTGTGACATATTTGTGATATACATTGTGCGGTTGTTGAAATTGGATAATGACGCTGTGTATTACTAAGGAATTCCGCATGACGAGCACGATGCTTTACCATATCGTGGCTACTATATTGGCCGAACTTTCCAATGCACTTCACGCCACAGTTATGGCTTTGACATCAAAATCGTTTTGAATGGAAGACGGACTTGCCTGGATGAGGGGATATCGACGCCCGGATCCCATCCATTTACGAGCTTGCCGTGTGCAATTTGGGTTAAGTAGTTGTCCCGCCATATTTGACGAGCTAACAAAATCGGCCACGCGGACGTGTTCCCACGCGCGCACGCGCGAGTTACTCGCGCGTGCGCTCGTATACGCCCACGATAATGTCTCTGTCAGTTGTTATTTTGTTAACCCGACCATCGCTACTTATCTCGCTCACCCTCGAAGCCCAGCACAAAAATCGAATGTGAAAATACAAACACGGCCTTGTAGCAGAGATGTACTCTCTCACTGGATCAGGGCTCTGGAGCAGGGTTTTTTTTTCGCGGTCGATGTCGAGAACAAATTGGTTTAACCCCTTTTGGGTTAACCCCGCATCTGGTCGAGCAGTCACGTTCGTTGTACGTGCGCGTTAAATGGCTGCACCGCCTCATCGTTACAGATGTAAACAACACCAATTCAGACTTATAAATAACCACTTAAACGAACAAATCGACCAATGAATAACTTATGTGAGACAAAAAAAGGTTGAGGCCCCGAAAACTACATATACAGGATGCTAAAAAAAAACGAAATCGAAATATTAATGCTAATTGGAACAGAAGTAGGCACATGTGAATCAAAGGGAGATATCCTCTGTTAGGGTTGGATCTCCTCTTTAAAATGGCACCCTGATCATGTCCTTACATTCATGGTTGACTGAGCAGTGATCAATTTTATGAAAGGGTCTATTTAGAGAATTGCGCCACTTTTAAATTGTGGTTTTTGTGGTGTCATTTGTCACAAAGTAAAAGCTATGGTTGCCAATCAAGGCAGGTGGATTTCATGGCGAAATCTCTTATTTTCCCCACCTGCCTTGACTGGCAACCATAGCCTTTTACTCTGTGACAAATGACGCCACAAAAACCACAATTGAAAAGTGGCGCAATTCTCTAAATGGACCATTTCATAAAATTGGTCACTGCTCAGTCAACTGTGAATGTAACGACATGATCAGGGTGCCATTTTAAAGAGGAGATTCAACCCTAACAGAGGATATCTCCCTTTGATTCACATGTACCCTACTTCTGTTCCAATTAGCAATAATTTCTCGGGGGGGAGGGTTATCCACCCTGTATAATGTGGCCTCTCGAGCGCAGAAAATATGGGCTTGCATCTGATGAAATAGTAGCTACGAACAGCGCAAACGTACTTCTTGTTTGGTATATTATTTGCCACCTTACTTTTCCATGTGTTTCTGCCCAACCAGCACGGCTGCCTACCACTGAATTAATACATGCAGTAATTGATACCGGTAGAGCTTAATTAGACTCACGAGTTATGATACTTTGTTGGTTGAAGGGTTATTATACAGAAATATGCTATTATACACCCTATGCTATTATAATACCGATACTTCATAACTGTATATCTTCGTGCCAGGTCATCAAACAGGCCGGCTATGAATAAAATATGAAATATTCTGAATATGACAAATTGGCAAGCTGATTTCATTACCTCGATCAATATGAACACATAATTATGAGAGTAGATCAACTCGAAAATAGAAGAAACAGATGAACCAACAATGAATATCTAGTATTCCGCATTAAAACAGGCCTATACTATTTCGCAATACGATACCATTGAGTAATGCAGACGTGTTTTCTTTGGAATACTGTCACTGATTTGATTTGGTGTGCAAATAGTAGTGATACTTCTGTAATCATTTGGACACCAGTGTAATTTGTTGATATGCCCATCCCACCTGTTCCAGAATAAAAGCTGGTACCCGCGCGCTTCGATTTTTTGTTATTCTACCGATAATGCAATTTTTTAGGTTGTATCTGATAATTCCAGTTTAAATCGAATTCATTACTCTCAAGTTGAAAACCGCAGGACAAAACGGCGCATAAATCTTCAGCTATCACTCCCATGTGGCGAACCAGTTGTTGTCGTTTATCATATAGGATGTATGTTATTCTTCCGATATTTGCCATGTAGCGGACGGAAATAGTTCGTTGAGGCATCGGAGACAGGCTGGCTATCTCCCACAGGAGAATTGAGGGAGTATTTTTCAATCCATTCGTTTGAGAGGGGCAAACAAATGACATTTTCGGAGAATGTTCTTTCTCCTGTGGGTCGAACAAGCAAATCAACCATATCTGTTTTGTGATTTGTAGGTTGAATAACAAGGTTTACCATCGGGGCTTGTCTAGACATGGCCCTCTCCCCCTAATAACAAAAACTTTTTGGTACGTGAAGAATGCCAAACTTACTTCTCCACAGACAGATCTTCCCATTGGCCACTCCAAGTGTATCATTTACCTCTGAATTCTTTCAAATCGATGCCCATGGAATCCTCAAGATTTAGGGACGTGTCTTCGGAGCCCGTTCACAGTCCCCACCCCTTCCCTGGACACCTGAATCTGCCCCTGCTATCCAAGGGCCCATACTTTAAGATTGGTTCACTCTTTGGGTACGATAGTGTCGCTTAAGAAATATTACCCAAAATACCAAGACAACCCGAGCTTAGTAAACACCCAGATTGCACAAATTCTACTCAATTGATTGAGTATGGCTAATCACTGTTAGCCTGTCTCATGCATTGTGGTCTGCACGATTGGCCGAATTTAGCGCAATCATATACGATAGCACTGCCCAGCTCACAAATGACGGACAGTGAGTCAGTCAGTCAGTGCGTCAGTCAATCAGTGAATGAATCAGTGTGATGGGTACGAAGAGAAAACAAGGCTTGCCCTCTAGGACCAGCTCCAATATGCAACCGAGGTCCCATGGAAGTTGAGAAAACCCCGCCCACAAATAGGAGGTAACTGGAGGTGAATGAGAAGAGTTTTTCCTTGATTGAACCAAGGACTCAAGTCATCGCACTCATCAGCAAGAATCATTCTTGTTGTTGACAACAAAATGTAACGAAACATGAAGCTGTGACACTACGTATACAGTACATGAAGGGTCGTTTTGGTGATGAATACGTAGGGTGCTGAGTCGCATACAAGGGAAGGAATGATTTATCGCGAGTAGGTTCGCGTGCCAGGCGCGTGCAATCTCATCCGGGCTGGTCTTAACGACCATTTGCACGCACGGCCCGACGCCTCGTCACAACCCTGCTTGTTACCTGTCAAGAATTAGAGTCAGGTTACCACCGGATCGCGTGCCAGACTTCGCCTTCTCAAGAGAAGGCGTCGCTGGGTTCTTGGTTTTTTTTTGTCAAAGTGGGATCCTTTAGTTCCGCTCAAGCGAGTCTGATTTTGGCAGTTGGGTAGTTTTCCTGGCCCCACAGGGCCATCGTATTGTCCTCTTTGGAACAGTTTCACTGACTGGCGTGCTGACTTACTGACTGTCACTTGTGACCCAGTCTGGTTATGTGCTGGTGAAAAAGGACCGGGCAGTGCTGCTGTATAGGACCACCCTGTCACATCCGGCCCATTTAGTACTCCAGGCGCATGAAAGACCTCCAGTGAATAGCTGCCAATCTGAATCTCAGCCATATGCATAAATAATTGTTTCAAAAGTGTATATGCTCTGTATTTGGACCCCTATGAAATCAATCTGTTAGTATCAGCGTCGGGGAGGGCAACACAGCAAAAAACGATATGGTGTTTCGAGACAGGCAAATGTGGCCTTGAATTAATCAAACAACACTCGTTCGATCGCTTCCCAAAGATCGGGGCTTGTTCCAGTCGATACTGTAAACTAAACGATTTGCCCCGTTAAAATCTCGTCAGTTCTGCTGTAGTCACGTTTCACTATTGTGTTGTGATGGGTCGTCCCGCCCTGCTGCTGTAGCTATGGACGGCTAAAAGGGATTTCTAATT